GCAGGGCGGCGGGAGCAGGGCCTGCCGGGCCGGGTGCGAGCGGGGCGCCGGGCCGGGCGCTTCCCCTGCCGGGCAGTGCTGCTCGGCGGCTCCGTGCCCGCCGGCGCGGCTGAGGCTGTGGTGGCTCACTCACCCACCCGGTGGGCGCAGTTTTCCCCGTGTAAGGGCTGCCCTGTTCTGTGGTATTAAAGACTTTTCTTTTTCCGGAGTAGAACCATACATTTGAGGTGTTTCTCTACAGCAAGCTCGAGGAGTTCGTTACCAGCCCTGTCTTGGTTGGTTGGCCAAGAAAATTTTCTTGACTATTAACAACCACCGAGAAATACCAGCTCTATCCACCACTGCAGCCAGTTGCAGTGGTCTCCTGCTGTGGCAGCCTTGCCTATTAAATATCTCACCTGGGCCGCCTCACCTATTACACTTATCTGCTAATCTAAGTGTACATGTAATGTATATTTCAAATTCAAGCATATTATAACGTAGATAGTAAAAAACCCTGCTGCTGTGTCCCCGGTGTTTAAACTGGAGCAGCTTATTTGTCTTTACAGTAATAATATTTGGTATTTTTTAGGCTTGAGCACAGGAATTCTCTACAGCAAGCGTGTTGGTTATTTCAGATAGTTTCTTTTCCTCCTGTCGTTGTTGACCATGGTATTTCCTATCTGGAAAAAGCACAGATAGGACTAGCTGGAAGGTCAGCAGGAATTACCTTTAAGGGCCTATTCTGCCGGCCCTTGAGTGCTTATGCCTGAGTGGAGCTTCCTGCTGAGCAACACCTTATACCAGTCTTGAGGAAAAACCTCCATGCGTGCATGATTTCATGCACCAGGAAGAATTCTCCTGGTGGCAGGAATTGCATCACGCTGAAATTCTGGTCGCCCGGCCACACGGTGCCCTCTGCAGGCGACGTTCCCATCGCTGGGAAGTCATTTTAAGTTCGATGTATGAGAAACATAAATTTAATTGTGTGTCACAGGTGTTCAAATCTTGCTTTCTATCGAAGATGAGCAATTTATTCATGTCATGCTTGAGACAGAATGAACTTAGGTTTTTACACAGACGTGTTTGATCATTTTGCACAGAACCTTCATGTAACAGTGGGAACAATATATGATTTAATGTTTATATTATTTGTATCTTAAATTTTGTCCTGCACCGAGGACTCTTCTGGCATCCTGAATCTTTGCTTGAGCTGAGTGGCTCATCCATGTGAATTCAATGCAGGATTAGCTGTACAGAGGAGCATTTCACTGCATTTCAACACTTGTCCATTATTTGGTCAAACAGCTTTAAAAAAAACCTAATCAGCTCTTTCACAGGTGTTTCTTTATCTATACAGTGTGTTTGTGAGGTTTTTGCTTTGCCAGTGGTTACCAATAACTTCACACAACAGACTCTTTAGGGCAGCAGAATTTCTGTCTGGTGCCTAAAGCAGCAATAACAGTTTCTGAGGAAAAAAATAGCCATTAAAAAAAAAAGCCATGGTGCTGATGAAACCTCTGGGCCCACTGACTCCAAAGTGTCAGTTGTAATTATGTGTTGGCTCTAATGGAACTTACACCAATTAAACAACTGTTTATGACAAAGCTTTGTTTATAAATGTTACTGCAGTTCATCATGTAGGCTGTTGAAAATGAATTTGCCTGTTATGTGTAATTTAGGTTCAGGGGTATGTAGGGGCTTGGGGTGTTTTGTTAAGGGCTTCTTTTGAGGTTTCTTGTTTTGTTTACTCCCATCTTTAACACTTTGCATCCAAGACTGATTTACAGTCAGGGTTTTTGAATCATACCCTGTACTGATTCACAAACAGGACTTGGTTCACTTTTCACAAGTATTTCACACACTTAAAATACTTGAATGCACATAATATAACTGGATTTTGCTGAACAGAACTGTCAGTTAATTTTCAAGTTTCTAAATCTTTAGCTTTCTAAACATTTATATACAAGATGAATAAATTCTAAACTCTCCCTTATACAGGATGTTACCAAGTTGACGCCTCTTTCACCAGAAGTCATCAGCAGACAAGCAACAATTAATATAGGTAAAAAAAACTTATAAAAAAGAGGGGTGCCTTAAGGTGACTCTGATTCTCATGCAGTAGCAGATGGTGCCTATGTGGTAACACTTTAAAGAAATTTGTACAGAAAGAGTTACATAGTAATTTCAAGGACTTGTGGAGCCCTTTTGACTTGAAAAGCACCAGTTTTACTTCAGGAACACAGTTTAATGGTGTGGGGAATAGTTGCTAAAGCAAAATTTGTTTTCCCTTGAAATAAAGGATTGAAATGAGTTTCATTAAATGCAAAGATGGGAGCACAATTTCAGATCTTGTTTGTTTAAACAAAAATGATTGCAAATTCTATATGTTTACCATATGGACTTACTGGCTGTGCAGAATTTGGGGTAATTGTGTATTGATTGTAGTGGAGCATTGCACAGAATTAAACTAGTTTAGTAACAAACATTTCCTTTTAAAATGCAGGTACAATTGGTCATGTAGCCCATGGAAAGTCGACAGTAGTCAAAGCTATATCTGGAGTTCATACTGTCAGATTTAAAAATGAACTGGAAAGAAATATCACAATCAAGCTGGGTTACGCTAATGCAAAGGTGAGTCATCCCTGTAAATGTAGCAGCTGTGTTGCTAATATATTTCAGGGTAGATGTATTATTACAGGTAACTAACCCTTGAGGAATGAAACATTTTTTCAATTTTAAAAAATCACAGATTTACAAGCTGGATGACCCAAGCTGCTCTCGACCAGAGTGTTACCGATCCTGTGGAAGCAGCACCCCAGATGAGTTCCCTACAGATATTCCTGGCACCAAAGGGAACTTTAAACTAGTCAGGTAACTGCTTAAAATTACTGGAATCAATTATGTTTACTTGCCTTTGTATGAAAACAGGATTGAGCAGTGAGCTGGACGGGTTCTGGCAGACTACACATTCTTAGATGGGGCACCCTGGGCTGAGGCATTGTGTAAACTGAATTCAGTGGTGGTGATGAGCACTCCATGGTACAGCACAGCTCTGTCTGCTTGCCTCAGCTGTTTGCAGGACTTTGAAGTTAAATCTTTCTGTTATTAATAAAAGTACATTTTAAACCAGGCAGATTGAGAACTAATGTGGACCTCACAAACACATCTGTAAAATCTCTTTTGGAAAGGTGATCTTTGCTGAACTTTTTCTTCCTAAGGGCAGAGTTTCCAAAAATTTTTACATGAATATATAAAAACCTGATGCTTAATGTGAGACCAGCCTCTCACTGGAGGCCAAGTGTTCTTTACTGACTCAATTTCTGAAAAAGTATAGCACAGTCTTTATGCAGTGGTTATGTGGGTCTGCACAATGATTGCTGACATGAGAGTAGTCATGAAGACTGTTGTACAAGATTCTTAGTTTGTGTTTATGATACAATACATGAGGTGCTGTAACCATTTTCTCAGATTCCCAGCAGAGCACTTGTACTAAGATTAACTTCTGTTGGAGTGTGACAGGCAGGCAGTCATTGTGAAACAACAACTGGTTAAAAGCTTTGCATTCTTTATCCTACTGGTTCTTTGCTTGTAGTAGATTTCTAACATCATCAGCAAAGCACCAAATTAGTCCCTTGCTTTTTGGTGGCCTGCCACTAAGAACAAGGATTCTTCACTAGATAAGTTCAGGAAAGAATATAGTGAACCAACTATCTTAGTCTGCACAATAAAATCATGAGGCTGGAAATGTAACATCATGTCTGTAGACAAATCTTTGACGTGCAGTTATAACCATATAATTAAAGATGCATAGTTTCCAAAAATTGAAGAATTTAAAAGGGTTAAGAGAAATCCCATGTAGTATGTTGGGGTTTGGGTTACTGGTGGTGGGTCAGTTTGATTTTGGGCTTTTATCCTGGTGCATTTAACTCTAATCTAATTTAGAGTAAATTGGTGAAATATTAAAGAGGTACTTAATGTGGACATGTGGTATTAAATCTGAAAACTCAGAAAAAGTATTCAGTAGCTGTTCAGTAGCATTTGTGTTCTTTCAGAACATTTTTGAAAATACTATTTTAAGGATACTTGTAACTTTTGTATCTGGCTAATCACTGACATAAATCAGTCAGAGGAATTGTTGATAATGGGCTTTTGGATTTCTCTTTCACCTTCTCCTGCAACAGGCATGTCTCTTTTGTGGATTGCCCTGGCCACGATATTTTGATGGCTACCATGCTGAACGGTGCAGCAGTAATGGATGCAGCTTTGCTGTTGATAGGTAATGATTGCTACCCAAAAGCAGAGCTCTGTTTTGTAGTAGCATGAGCCAATTTTATATGGGCTTTAAAATCTCCTGGGATGTGGTGAGCAATTGAAACAATTTTGATGCTTTTGAGATGTGTTTTAAAGAAAATAAAATTGTGGTAAAATGCTAATGTGCTCTGACAAGCTGGTTTGTTTTAAACACAGCTATCCATACCCACTAGTCTGGTAGCTGGCCCCATTGGTAGAAGATAGGTAATATAAAACCTTGTAGTAGTATAGTACTGTGAAATTTGTATCACTTTATGGAAAAGATTAGCTGCATTTTGA